TTCCTTTGTGCGAAGGTGGAAAGCGCAGACTTGGGTTTTAAAGGGATTGGGTCTCAGAGAATTCTGCAGGTAGTACTCTGTCATTGTTTTTAAGGCAGTTTCGAGTTTCTCCTCCACTTCTTCAAAACTATTTCCTTGAAAACATACTGCAAGATCGTCAGCATAGAGGAAGTGCTTGGTTTCGGTCGGAGTAGGTTGGTCGTTTGTGTATATATTAAAGAGCATTGATGCTAAAACACTTCCCTGTGGGAGGCCGTTTTTTTTTGAATTCTCCACCTACTTACTTTACCCTTCAGCATAACGAAAAAACCGTCTATTTTGCAGTAAGGAATATACGACCTTTCCCAGATGGTGGTCATTGAGAGTGTCGTATAATTTACGGAGCAATGTTTTGTACCTTACTGTGTCATAGGCTGTTGTCAGATCTACAAAAGCAGCCCCTGTTATAAGTTTTTCTTCAAATCCCTCTTCAATGTGTTCTGTTAATGCGAGAACTTCACCGGTGCAAGATTTGCCAAGTCTAAATCCTCCTTGTTGTGGGATGAGGTGCTTGTCGACATTTTTTTCTATTCTGGCGAGTATGAGTCTCTCGTATAGTTTAAAAAAGTTACACAATAGCGAAATAGGTCTGTAGCTACTGGGGTCTTCTGGATCCTTTCCTGGTTTTAACAAGGATTACTAAACTTTCTCCTACAAGAATTACTAAAACAACATCTACCATAATCGATTATATTGTCTCAGATTTCTCACCCTTTGATGTATATATCACCATAGTGTTAACACTCTTAACAAACAATCCTCGGAAACCGCAACGTTAAGGTAGGAATTTTTCCGTTTAGAACTTTCGTAAATTTTAAAATTTGTGCTTGAGTTGTGGGTGGCACTTTCCCTCTGTGGACGTGGACTATAATTTCAGTACTTTTTTAGATAGGCTTGTCTGTATTTTCAATAAGACATTTCTTTAATTAAAATTCTGTCAAAGTATCACAAACCTGGACTACCAAAGGTATCCGCATATCAGTCAAGAATATGCGTTCACTACTATACATCAAGAAATTTACTACCAACGTCTTTGTTACTGAATATATCTTCAAGTACAGAGGAGCCTACCTAAAATTTATCAAAACAACAAAAAAAATGTATTATCAGAATCTGGGAAAGCTCTAAAAATGTTGCAAGAAAAGCTTGATCCATAATAAATGATCTTCGAAATAAAACTAACACAGCTCAAACATTTCCTCTTCTAAACCTTGAAAATCTAAATGAATACTTCGTTAATGTGAGTAAAAATATAACATCCACTATTTTGCCACAACAAAATCCTATTTCCTATCTCCCCAATTCAAAAAAGCTTTCGAATTCATTCTTTATAAGACCAGTTGATAAATCTGAACTGATCAAAACAATCAGTAGTATCAAAAGAAAATCTTCCTGTAGTACTGATGGACTATCCATAAAAATTTTCTTAAATCTCCAAAAAAATGTATTGGAATTTCACTAATTAACGAATCCTTTGAAAAAGGCATATTTCAAGAGTGCCTAAAGACAGCCATTATTATTCCTCTTTATAAGGGTGGTTGAAAAATCGAATGTCTGCAGCTATGGACCTATTGCCTTACTACCGGTTCTATCCAAAATTATTGAGACTTATGACTTAAGCCCGACTTTCTCGTTGAAAACAACATTTTATCACAAAGTCAGTTTGGATTTTTATTTAGTAAATGTAGAAGGAAGGCTATGTTTTCTGTATTACATGAGGTTTATCAATTCGAGGTATTTCTTTAAATTGGCTCCAATTTTACTTGAGGAATAGGAAACAACTAGTTAGAGCAAATGATACTAACTCTTGTCACAAAATCATTGTATATGGAGTACCTCAAGGTTTAGTACTGCGTTCTCTAATTTTCTTTATCTTTATAAATGACATAACTAACTTAGAAATAGATGGAAATTTTTTTTTAGCTAATGATGATGTATTACCTGGAGGAACTCTAATATGGCTCTTCATGCAATTATAACTTCTGATCTACTTAAAATAAAAACCTGGTTCGATTCTAATTTACTCTCTTTTAGCATGGATCAGCTCTTCAACCCTTGCTTCTTAATAACAGCCAGATCAGTATCGTTGATTTTGTAAAATTTCTTGGTATTTTTATTGACAGCAACCTTAAATGGTCCATTTATATCGATTTGTTAAGTAAGAAACTAGCCTCAGCCAGCTATGCAATAAGATCTGTTTCGAAGAAAATCAATTTAGCATCTTTTAAAATAATATATTTTTCTTTGATTGAGTCTCATCTTCGATATGGTCTTCCTTTTTGGGTTTCTAGTACAGCTGCCCAATCTGATATTAGTAGAATAACACATTGCAGAAGTTACTTCAAAAATCACGGGATTTTAACTCTTCCCTTTAGTATATTCTAACACCGTTTGTTAATTCGTAAACACCTACATGTTATTCCAGCAAAACCTAATCATGACTACTCCATCAAAATTTAGCCATTGATGATATTTCCTGTCCTATGCACTGAGTTAGTATAAAAATCTATATATTCGGCAAAAAAATTATACAATCATCTCCCTTTGCAACTTAAATCTACAACTTCTTTTCTTAAGTTCCGTAAATTGACAAAAGCCTACCTATCTGAAAGATCATATTATTCGGTGGAATAGTTTCTCAACGAATAACTAAGAAATTATAGTAAGCTTAGGTCTTCTTCTTCTGGTGGTTCTTTCTCCTATCGGAGGTTGGCTATCATCACAGCTATCCGTACCTTATTGGCGGCTGCTCTTAAAAGATCTATTGAGCTGCAACTATACCAATCTCTTAGGTTTCTCAGCCAGGAAATTCTTCGTCTTCCTATGGATTTTTTACCCTTGATTTTACCTTGCATTATGATCCTTAATATCTCATATTTGGCACCTCAGGTAATGTGGTCTAAATATTTCAGCTTTCTTGTTTTCATGTGCTTTATGACCTCGCAATCCTTTTGTAGCCTTCGCAACACTTCTGCATTTGTAACTCGTTGGATCCACTTTTAGTGTCCAGCTTTTCATTCCATACAACAAAGTCGAGAACACGTAGCATCTTAAGGCTCTTATCCTCAGATCCAGACGATGGTCTCGATTGACAAACATTGTTGTCATTTTTTATAAATGCTTGTTTTGCAATTTTAATGCGTGTTCTTATTTCTCTGCCTTGGTTATTGTTTTCATTTACCCAGGCTCCCAGATATTTGTATTCACTCTTTCTACTTGTTTTCCCTCGATATCCGGTTTAACAATATTTGATTGACAATAATCCGTATATCTCGACTATCCACATTCTTTTCTTTTAACAGTTTTACGAGTTTCTAATATCGTACTCTATCGAAAGCCTTTTGATAATCTATAAAGCAGACATAGAGATCCTGGTTCATATCTAGTCGTCTTTGCGCGAGAACGTTAAAAGCGAAAAGAGCCTCTCTCGTTCATAGTCCTCCTCTGAATCCAAACTGGGTGTCATCTATATCTTCCTCTATTTCTTTGTATAGTCTTCTATGTATTATTTTGAGAAATATTATAAGTGTGTGGCTTTTTAAGGAAATTGTTATGTACTGGTAGCAATCTGTCGCATGTACTGACTTTGGTAGTGCTACAAACGTGGACAGCAACCAATCTTGGGGTATTACTCCTGTTGTATATACTTTTCGCTCAGGTACAAGCAACTAAAGTATTTTTATAAATATATTTGGGTATCACTTGCAGCAACTTAAACTTATTGGTAATATAGTTCGTAAGGTTTTATTATACAATTTGTAATTTAGTTAAATTTTGCAATGGATTATATATTTTATTATCTTTTATTTTGTGATTCTGTGATATTGACGATTTATGAAATTTTAGTAAATTTTAATTGGCATTGTTATTTTTCTGACTTTTTGTAAATTTGTCCATAAAATTATACAATTTTCAGTGACAATAAAGCATATTTTTTGTATTATATTCTAAGAAGATCAGTTAAAAATAATGTAAACAAAAACAACACATGTAACCTAAGAGGAAGAGAGATAGTAGTAATATATTGTGTTATAACTGCACAGATATACCTGCACGATACGTAGGTGTAAAACATTTTATGCTGTTTTACAAGCAACAGGAATGCATACAGCCGTATTGCGCCATTCTCAGGAAATCTTTCTTGTTATCAATTACAATTTAAACTTCACAAATAAACGATGCATCAACGAGACATTTTTTTTTTGCATTACGTGTCACTGACGACTATTTTAAATTCATATCTTAAAGTTTGTAATGCTAGTAATCCAAACGCACCGTGGTAGCACATGCACGTCTGTGCTGGTGCGTCGTATCCATCGAGAGTCGGTAACATCAAACATGCCCTTGCGACGCGATGCTAGCGTGTCCTTGCTTTAACAGACAAGTGCAAGTCAGAAGTTGTTCATTCGCTGACACGAGTAGTTATCTGTAGTGTTGTCAAAGTTGGTTTGCACTTTTGTACTAAAAAATGGAATGGAAAAACAAAGTTATTTTTGATTTTTTAAATTTGTATCAAAATGAAACAAGTTTATGGAATTCTACGGCGCCAGATCCGGAACGATATATACGATGCATGGAAAAAAAAATAAATTGAAGAATAGTACTATTTTGATTAAAGACTTAAAAAAGAAGAGAGACAATTTAATGTCGACATACAGAAGGCAAAAAACAAAAGTAGATACCTACACAGACTGTCACGGACCATAGGAAGAGCTTTGTCTGCGGTCCGTCGCCGTCCGTGATCATCGGCTGTGCGCGATGATCTGTTGAATCGCCGATCGTGGGAAGCCGCTATAAGATACGAATAGAACTAACTTTTCCCACAGATCGACTGGACATCTATTTTTTCGCGGTTAAAAATCCAGCTGATAATAATCTTGCCAATAATAATATACTTGGTGAATTAAAAATTGTTTAAAACCGTTTACACTCAAACGAATCTTCTGAAATAAACGCAGTTACCACTTCTCACTTTATTTAAAAGCACGCACCACCCCTGAATAAAATATTTGATTTAAGTACTTAAAAATTTAATCTTCATGCGTGATGTTTGTAAAGCTCTTGTAGTGGTAAAAGAAAAATATAAGAAAAATTGCAAAGGCTGTTGGAAATGTTATTCTGGCTATGACGTCAATGGTCTTTGCGACTCGTATTGGATGCGGAGGTTCTTTTTTCCTCACCTGCAAAAAAGACACCTACTAAAGGTTAGATTATTTTTGAAAAGCAAACAGTTTAAATCTAACAATACAAGATAAATATGCATGCGGTATTTTAAAAAGGATTAAAGAGATTAAGCTGAGTACAATAGACATATTTTTTAGAAAACAGTTATATTTACATTGTGCTTTGATTTTACGAGAATACCAGTACCTATATAACCATAGGCCATTTACAATTGCAAAAATTTTATTAATTTTTTAATTGTAACATTAATTTCAAAAACAATTTGAGTTTTTAAGATTATCACAAAAAATCATCATAGAATCTTAGGAGTACCTTCTTTGTCAGTTTTTTTGAATATAGAGTAAGAAAGATTTGGAAAAATAATAAAACCACTGGTGGATGAAACATGTAAAATTAAAGAAATACTTGTCAATACAGGTATTAGGTCAGGCCGAACATTTTTGAAACCAGCAAAATAGTAACAGAATAAAACCCATTGGAAAAGGAAGGAAATATAACAAAAATAAAAGGAAAAATAATATAAGGACGGTCTAAGGTTGGGAAGTGGTAGGGGGTGAGTTTTCAACCCTAGAACACTAACCATTAGTAAAATTTACGAATGTTGTATTCGAAAAAATTCTGTTGCACACCAATACTCAAATCAGTAAAAAGGGATGAATTAAATCTTGTTAAACTACTTATATTTTCTGGACCCTTCTTGCAAATAGTCAAGCAGAGCTGATGGAACTTATACGACTGATCGAAAACGAAAGTCAAATATTTGGTCTGCAATTAAACATATTAAAGACAAAGATCATGATAGTGGATAGACTACACAACAATCATCCACACATAACCACAATTGACCGGTTCGAGGTTGTGAGCTCATACTTATATCTGGGATCATTAATCAAAAACACAAAGTCATTACAAGAAGAGATTAAACGAAGATGTGATCTAGCAAAAGTTGCCACAGCAAAAATGACCAAAACATGGAAGGACCGTCAAATTTCAAGAGCGATAAAGATGAGGTTGATCAACTGCTTAATATTCCCAATACTGACCTACGGATGTGAATCTTGGACTCTGAGACAATCGGAGAGAAGAAAGATAGACGCCACTAAAATGTTCTGTTGGAGACGAATGTTACGAATTCCTTGGATCGACCGTAGAACAAATAATTCAATTTTAAGAGAGCTAAAAGTTAGCCAACGACTCTCTAGTAAAGTCCATCTCCAACAATTAAAATATTTTGGGCATGTTATGAGAGCAAACACAGAAAACATGGAAAGACTCATAATACAAGGAAAGGTAGAAGGCCGAAGATCACAAGGAAGATCCCCAACAAGATGAATAGATCAAATTACAAGAATATGCCAAAGACCTATGCATGAATTAAAAGAACTGACCAGAGACAGAGATCTCTGGAGACGGACAATACACGACATCACGTCGACCACTCCCCCTGGGGGGTCAGGATTGAAGAGAGAGAGATTTTATGGAGCACGAAAAGATAATCTTCATAGTAGAGAGATGTTTGATTCCAAAATGTCTGGTCCCGTTTATAGAGCAACAATAAGCTGCAAAAGATTGGATTTTCTGATGCATAAGTTTAGGTTCAATAATAAAACCACAAGAACTGAAAGAAAAAATATAGATAGGTTTACCCCTATCCGGGAAATATGGGAGGAATTTATTTTTAATTGTAGAGTCCTATCGACCAGGTAGCCATGTAACTATTGACGAGCAGTTATTAGGTTTTAGGGGCCAGTGCCCTTTTAGGCTAGATAACATAAACTATTATTTGGAACCAAACAGCAAAAGTGAAAGTTGAAAATAAACTAACCGAGGATATCCAGATTCGTCGTGGGGTCCTCCTAGGGTGTATTTTATCACCTTTGTTATTCAATTTATACAGTGAAGCAATTTCATAATTAGCGCTTGCTGAGGCCCATCAGGGCCTTATAATAAACGGTGAGTCACTTAATAACACAATATATGCTGACGACACCGTCCTTCTGGTAGGAACACTAGAAGAACTATAACTCCTTGCTGAACAACTAAATATATATTGCAACGATTATGGACTAAAAATAAATTTGAAGAAAACCAAGGTAATGGTATTTACAAAAGCACAAAACATCAAAGTTAAGCTAGCACTAGATAATACAGAAATTAAACAAATATCTTCGTACAAATATCTCGGAGTATGGATCACAGAAGATACTGATCAGACAAAATAAATTAGATGCCGCATTGAAATTCTCGAACAACTAAGAAAACAATGCAAAGTTTTAAATTTCATAAAAATCAGGAAATTGGAATACTTGGAATAATTGGAATATGTTGTCTGCCAAATCTCTAAATAGACAAGTTTTTAAATTATGAGCAAAATAATCAGTTTGACGTTTTGATTGTTTTTTAAAACATATTTCCATTAACAAATTGATGAATCCCTAATAAAAGTCATTTGGTAATATCTCAGACTATACATTTCAACTGTCAAATCCATCTATAGAGTTGTGTCGAATAAAAATCCAACTTATTGGCCTATATTGACTAATATGTTTAGAAGTTTAGAAAATGCTATCCATAACTCCTGGTTTTTAGTTTTATTTCATTTCGGTATTTGTACAAAAGTTTAACGTTCACTAATTATTTTCAATAAACAGAAAATAGTGTGCTCACGTTGCTGTGTCATCTACTCTTAATTTATCGCAGGAATATGTGTGTATGTATGTATCTGCATTGTGTGTTTGAATGTACAATATGATTGTGTTTGCTGTCTGTATTTGTGCATGTTTAAAAATTCATAGAACCATTTTCATTAGTATACAATATGAGTTTTCATAAATTGAAATATGAAACAAAAGCACTGTATTTCATAAGATAGCGAAAATCCCTATTAGCGTGTATATTCACGAATAATTCCCTTCATTGAACAACATACCGGAAACTATTGTATAGACAGGTATGTATTATCGTGTAGGAAATTATTTTTATGTATAAAATAATCTCATTTAGTTAGAAACATCTGGAAAACTTCTTTATTAATAATTCTAAGAAAAAACTTTTTTTCAGAAAAACTTCTGCAATGAATAACGGGTAATTCCAGCAATAATCGACACAAGTCGGTGAGGTCACCCTCTCCGATTTGGTTGAAATTTTACACACATGTTGTACTAGACAAAAAAACATGATTGTCAAATTTTCAGTGGCGGTTGTGGCACGCTATTAAAGTTACATACGTTTTATCAATTTTTTTTCGTGTTTCGCCGATTTTTTTAGTACAGCGAGCTAAATATGCTTTAATAAATATCCACTATATGTTTTCCGCGTTTTTTGGACTTTTATAGGGCGCAGCGGCTTCAAACATATAAAAAGGATTTCTGAGACAACTTTTATTCGAAAGTACTTGTATTAAGGGGTCTTTTGTGAAAATTAAAAAAAAATTAAAGGGGGTGTTTTTAAGATATGAATTTTCAAAAAAATCTCTTTCGCATTTTGTGGCTTTACATGAGGTCATATGGCAATTCTGACTCCGGGATCGTGTTCAGCGGAAAATTTTACATTGGAAAACATATGGTGGATATTTGTTTAGGTATATTTAGCTCGCTGTACTAAAAAAATCGGCGAAACACGAAAAAAAAAATTGATAAAAAGCGTGAAACTTCGATAGCGCGCTGCGGCCGTCATTTTGAATATTAAGATGTAAAAATTTGACAACTATATTTTTTTGTCTAGTACAACATGTATGTAAAATTTCACCCAAATCGGAGAGGGTGACCTCACCGACTTGTGTCGATTATTGCTGGAATTACCCTAACATTAAAACTGTATTCATCTTCTTCTTCTTGTAGTGTCTATCCGTTTCGTATGTTGGCCACCATCATGGCAGTCTGTATTTTGCAAACTGCTGCTTTGAAAATATTTGTGGTTGTTGCGTTGAATCATGTACGTAGATTTTTCAACCAGGAAATCCTTCTTTTTCCTGGTCCCTGTTTTTCTTCTACTTTTCCTTGCAGAACTAATTGCAGCAACCCATATCTTTAGCTGTTTCTCATGATGTGACTAAGGTATTCAATTTTGGTTGTTTTTATTGCCGTAAACAACTCTTTTCCTTTTTGAATTCTTAATAAAATGTCCTGGTTATTAACGTGGTCGGTATAGGATATTTTCAGGATTCTACGATAAAGCCACATTTTAAAAGCCTCATTTTCTTGCAGGTAGCGTCTGTAAGAGTTTACAACTGAACTCCGTAAAACAGTATACGAAAGATATAACATCCTAGTAACCTGATTTTTATGGGTACTGATAAATAGTGGCATTTGAATAACTCCTCTTCACTTCACTTCGTTTTTTTGGCTTGCACACAAGTGCATCTGTCAGCTCATGTGTTGTGTGTTGCAGTTTGTCTTGCTTAGCAATACTAAAGCACATCTCTATAAAAAAAGAGGATTACATAATTAGTAATTTTTTAAACCATGAAAATACGATACGATGGCAGTTGTTAGTTGACGCAAACTGACATAGCAGTACTCTCCAGTTATCCAATGATGAGGTCATGCAGGCTATTTTTGCATACCATTAATGCTTCTGTTTTTCCCCTTAAGATATAGATAATTCCTTCAAGCTTAAATATATAGCAAATATATAGAGTGGCCCAAAAGTCTCGAAACGGCCAATTATCTTGTAAATTGCTAGTTATAATTGTACAAAATTTGAAGTACACCTATTTTGGGATACGGAGATTCCATATTTGATATTTACAATGTTGCCAGATTTGCCGTTTTCCTGATATTATTAGTGACTTTGGTTTTTAAAATGCATCACCCTGTATATTTAGTCATTATTAGAATCTTCTGTTCAATACGAGTTCAACTATATGTAACACTTATGATTTTTTATAGTCGGGAAGGTCTTAAATACATAAAACTGAAGTCTGTCAACGCCTAATTGTTTAAATAAATGTTTTGATACTAATTATTTTCAACTACATTAAAACGTAACAATTGATAGATTAGACCATTTT